CGCCGCCACAGGAGACCCAAGAGCCAAATACTTTCGCAGCCACGCTCTGTTGCCGTCAGCACCGTGCTCGTGAGCGCCACGCCAGCGCCCACCCCGGTCAGAGAGAGGAGCCCCAAACCAAGTGTGCGGGGGGGGGGGGCGCGCGGCGAGCTAGTTGGCTTTTCCCACACGTTACAGGGCGACAGGAGCTCAGGTTTCGCTCAAGCCCTCCTCTCAAGCGCACTTCGTAGCGGACTCGGAGGGTCGCCACAAACTTACCAGGGAAGCACGGCCCGCCCGTATGTCTGAGGGCTTGCTCGGATATTGGTTCATATTCGGTGTCTGGAGGCCGTCACAGAACTACCTTCCATTCAACTCCGTCTGCACAAGTGCTCATCAGCGCTTGGAGGGCAGCACGGACGTCACCTCCTTTCGAAGCTCTTGCCTGACAATAAATAGAGGCAGGTCCTCCGCAGGAGGGCATCCCGAATCGGCGATGCACCCACCATGGATCGCCCCGCGACATGTATTATTATTATTATTATTATTATTATACTCCCAGGGCCCTTTACCCTTTCCTGTTTATTATCCCATATATTTTTGATCATCTTCGTTATACTATTATGTTTTCCCATTTGACCATACTCTCCCCCTCTTTCATCCCTTCAGTTCTCAGATTTTCTGTCGCCAAGGGCTCCCAACTTTGCGCTTCGCGCTGCGCGAAGCGCGAAGTGCGAATAACTTCGCGCTCTCGCGCCGCCTCCCAGGGGAGAAGAGGAGGATGAGGAGGAATCGGAGCCGAACGGCGAAGCGCGAAGCGCGAATCACTTCGCGCCCTCGAGAGCGCCCTCCCTTCCTTACCCTCGACACATCCCCACACGCTCTGGAGTCCCGAAACGGTGCGGTGACAGACCGTGCGGTGACCTCGAAATCCCCAAGACCTCACCGCACGGTCCGTCACAGCACGGTCTTGGGACCCCGGAGGCCCCAGTCGCCCGAGACATCCTCGGAGAACGACCCGAGTCACAAAACCGTGCGGTGACCCCGAATCCCCACCGACTCACCGCACGGTGTGGTCACCACCCCGTTTGGGGACCCCCCACACGCTCCCGACCCGGGCGAAGCCCCCGGCCCGCTCCCCGGAGGGCGACTCGGGGTCGATGGCTCCCGCCCCGAGCCGGTCCCTCGCCCGTCGGCGGCCCCGACCGCTGCCGCGGGCCTCGACGCGGTCCCCGGCGGCCGGCGTCCCCGGAGGCCCCCCGGACGCCCCAGCGGGCCAGGAACAACGTTCCCGGCCCGTTCAGGAACGTGCAGCGTCCCAGGAGGAGGAGGACCTGGGAGGAGTTGGGATCGGATCCGGGAGAGACGCCTCGTTCCCGGGAGGATTTGGGATTCAGGGATGTTCAACATCCCTGAATCCCAAATCCCAAATCCTCCCGGAGGAGGACGACGGTGACGACGAGGACAGAAAGGAGCAAGACACGGGGGGAGGGAGCAGGGCCCGGCGTCGAGACACAACTGTAGCACTGCGAAGCCTTGTGACTAGAGCTAAGTCGGGCCTGTCCCTCTACAGGCGGAATACTCAAGAATAGTCAAGAAATAGTCGGGGGGCGATTTTTCTTACATATTTTGACAAGTTGGGGGTCTTTTTTCTGACAATCTTTCGTTTTTCGTCCAAAATCCGCCTGTATGATGCCCGACCTCAGACAAAAGCCCTCGGTCCCAGCTCTCTGCAGCATTTCTCGAGCCAAATCGACCCGTGGAGGTCCCAGGGGCCCCCAGACCAGGCGAAAACGCCTGCTGCGAAAAAGACGCGGCTCGGAGGCCTGGAAATGGGCACCAACACCAACACAGGGGGCTGCCTCCGCCGGCCCAAGACGATCGCAGGTTCTGGCGACGGTGGTAATAGTTCGACCACCGTTAGCGAGATCGGGATCATCTTCCCTCGGTGGCGGCACACCGCCACTGTTGGTGTTGGTGCCAATCTCTAGGCCTCCGAGCGACGCCTCCATCTAAGGGTCCGATCGGCTCGGGAGTCATAACTCGAGCCCTGGACCCGTCGCGAGGCGCGCTCCGACCTGAATCTCGAAGCAGATCCAGCCGTGGCGACGAGGACCCCCGAAGAGAGACGCACGCCCAACCTCGACCCTCGAGACTCGAACCTCGAAGATCAAAGCTCGAGAAAGGACAAGCAGAGCAGCCCCCCCATCGACTTAAGACGAAGCCAGGACAAGGATAACATTGGGCGTGGATAAACCGAGAACCTCTGATGTCCAGCGGCTATGGAGGATGTAACGGGCGCCAGGGCCCTCTCAAAGCAGACTGGAATGCTCTGGAAGCGTTCCGGAACGCTCTGGAACGGATTTATCCTCGTCCTGGCCTCCTCCTCCTCCTCATTCTCCTCTTCCTCCTCCTCCTCCTCCTCCTCCTCCTCCTCCTCCTCCTCCTCCTCCTCCTCCTCCTCCTCCTCCTCCTCCTCCTTCTCCTCCTGCCAGAAGAGCACCCGGCGGCGAGCGGGGTCCTCGACATCAAGTCCCTGGCGGCGAGCTCCTTCCGGATGCTGTCCGCGTACTCGTCGCCGGTCTCCATCTGGCCTCCGGCGGGCAGGAGGGGGAGGGCCGCAGGGAGGGGAGGGCGCGAGACCAGCGACGAGTATGATGAGGACCTGTAAAGACACGGCCCGAGGGGAGGGGGAGGGCCGAGGGGAAGGGGAGGGCGGAAGGAGGGGGAGGGCCGGAGGAGGGGGAGGATCTCGAGGGAGGGGCGCGAGAACCTGTAGAGACACGGCGGATGGAGAGGAGGAGGAGGAGGAGGAGGAGGAGGAGGAGGAGAAGGAGGAGGAAAAGGAGGCGGAGGAGGAGAAGGAGGAGGAGGAGGAGGAGGAGAAAGAGGAGGCGGAGGAGGAGGAGGAGGAGGAGGAGGAGGAGGAGAGAAGGAGGAGGAGGGAGGAGGAGGAGGAGGAGGAGGAAGAGGAGAAGGGAGAGGAGGAGGAAGAAGATCGAGCGTCGAAGTGGTTGTGCGTCTTGGGTGCTCTCCCTTCCCTGGCTTCTACAAGTCTCTGGAGGCCTCTGGGGATCTCGGGGGCCCTGTGAGGACCTGTGGGGACAATCGTAGACCTCCAGAAAGACCTGCGGGTACCTATGGATAGCTCCGAAGAGGAGAATCCGGAAGGACAAAGGGAGCAGGAAAGGAGTCGAGCCCTTAGATCCGGCAAGAGAAAAAACATAGGAAAACAACACCAACCCTTGACCCCCTCTTTCCGCGGCTTCCCGTAACCCTCCTCCCCCTCATCCTGAGGGCATTGATGCTCCTCCTCCCTCCTCTCCTCCTCCTCCGCATCCCTCCCTGGGCACGGTCGTGCAAGCACGGCAGGTTTACGCGTGCAGCCCGAGGACGCGGCCAGTACCAGAAAGCGCGACCCAGCTCAAAATGCATACCGCCCCACATGGGGCTCTGCTCCTCCTTCCTCCTGCCTCCCCATCCCCCTCCTCCTCCTCCTCCTCCCAGCCTTCTCTGGGGCAGGTCGTCTTCGTCCGCGGTCCTCTTCGCCGCAAGTCGTCCTCGCGAAGACAGCCGCGAGTACGACCAAGGCAAAGGCGACCGCGGCAGAGACGACTGCTGGCGAAGACGACGTCGTCGCCAGCGCTTGAGAAGACGATCCTGGCGAAGACGGCGGGGCGAAGACGACTCGTGCCCGTGCTCTCAGCTGTGCAGGGCGGGCCCTCCGACCCTGATTGTCGCTATCCTGGCCCAGTGGGCTAAGCATGACCTTCGTGTCTGCAAGGTTTTCGATGCCTCCTCCTCCTCCTCCTCCTTCATCTCCCTCCCTCTCCTCCCTCCTCCATTCCTCCTCCCTCCTCCTAGCTTGCTTACTCCCTCCTTTTTATCGCCGTGCCCTTTCCTCATACTCTTGTCCTCCTTTCTACCACCTCTCATCCTCCTCTCCCTCCTCCCCTCCTCTCCTCCTCCCTTCCTCCCTCCTCCTCTCCTCTCCACCTCCTCCTCCGGCCTCTCCTCCTTCCCTCTCCTCCTTCCTCTTCCTCCCCGCCTCGCCCTCCCTCCTCTCCTCCGCCTCCTCCTCCTCCTCCTCCTCCTCCTCGGCTGCCCCGAGGATGACTTGGGATGCCTTGTTGTGAACCGTGCGGTGCTCACGCTGGGGGAGGGCCAAGGAGCTTGCCAGCAGCTGTCTCGGCCACAGCGGCTCCCGCAGAGGGCCAGCACCCCCCGAGGGAGCCTCCACGGCAGACCCGCGAGGCCTCGCCAGCCGCTGCGATTCGAGACGCGCTGGTCCAAGCGGGGGTGACCAGGAAGAGATGAAAAAAAAAGCAGGAAAACGAGGACAAAGAGGAGGAGGAGGAGAAGGAGGAGGAGGTGGGCAGGAGGGGGAAAAGGGAGAAGGAGGAGGAGGAGGAGGAGGAGCGGCAGGAGGAAGGTTGAGGGAGGGGAGGGGAGGGGTGGGCGAGGGGACGGGGAGAAGGACGGGAGGGAGGGGGGGAGAGGGGAGGGGAGGGAAGGAGGGAGGGGAGGGGGGGGGGGAAGGGGCTATGGGGGGGGGGAGGGGGAGGGGGAGGCGGAGGCGGAGGGGGAGGCGAGAGGAGGGGAGGAGAGGAGAGGAGTAGGATGAGGTGAGGAGAATAAGTGAATGAAGGATGAAGGGAAATTTGAATGATGAAGGAGACAAGAGGAGGCAGGTGAGGAGGAGGAGGGGAGGTGGAGGAGGAAGGAGGAGGAGGGGAGGAGGAGGAGGAGGAGGAGAAAAAGAGAAGGAGGCGGAGGAGGAGGAGGAGGAGCGGAGGAGGAGCAGCAGCAGCAGGAGGAGGGGAGGAGGAGGAGGAGGAGGGAGCGCGCCCCAGGAGGCGCGCCCCAGGCGCGCGCCTGGCGCGTTGTGCGTCCTGTTCTCGCCCTTGCCGAGCAGCTCGCTCTGGGGGGCGCCGGCGGGCCGAGAGGCCGCCGCGGGGCAGCGGAGCACGAGGAGGATCGCCGTATGGCGATGAAACAAGCCTCGGAGGAGGAGGAGGAAGAGGAGGGGGAGGGGGAGGGGAGGAAGAGGAGGAGGAGGAGGAGGAGGAGGAAGAGGAGGAGGAGGGGGAGGAGGGGAAGGAAGACGAGGAGGAGGAGGAGGAAGACAAGACAAGACAAGAGCACTTACGAGCCAATTGGTCACCGTCCTGCTCAGGAGTGGCCTCGAGGGCCTGAATTCAGTTAAGCTGAGAGTATGGGAATGGCTATGTGAGCGCTGTGCGTGAGCGCCTACCAGCGGCCCTGCGGGGGGATTCCTTTGGCCTATGGAGGGGCTAGGTAGGGGCAAGACGACCCCTCCAAGGCCCTCCAGAGGCACCTGATCCCCTGAGGGCTCTAGGTGCGAGCCAAGGGGTCGCAACCCTTCAATATACTAACCTTCATTCGCTGCCTGTTGGGGGCCAGGCGCCAAAGGAAGGGGGGCGGAGCGAGCAGGGGGAAGGGGGAAGGGGGCTCAACCGAGGAGAGGGAGAGGTCACCACTCATTCTGCGAACCCTGGAGGACCTCTGGAGCTAAGTTACTATGTCAAAACGAGGCTCCACTGGGCCTCCAATTTGATGAAACATATAAAACTTTCTACTGCCCGCTTGATACTCTTGAAATGGGCCTGGCGGGTTTAGCTTGCAGCTTGGCGAACGCCTCATCATTCAGAAGTCTTCTGTTTTGCAATAGCTCGAGCATCCGCTCGGATCCACTGGTAGTAACAAGCCGAGCTAGTTATTGTGAACCTGCTTCTGGACGGCCTCGTGCGACAGGTTGATGCGAGTCAGCAACTTCTCTGCATCCCTCCCCATTGCGCCTCTCGGCGCCGATCCTGGTTTGAACGCGCCCCCTGGGCCTCCACCGCCTGCGAAATCTCCCCGTGGAGGGTGAGCAACTCTGCGTTGTCCGCTTCGCGCATCACGAGGGTTTGCTGAGCTGGGGCCACCATGAACTGAAACTTGTACATCTGCGGCTCCGTGTGCTGCCTCTTGTCGCGGTGACAAGCTCGAAGACGAAGGGGCCCCACGTGCTCTTGGACTGCGCGGAGCGCTGTCTTCTCTGGAACGGCCACCACTGCGTTCCAGCACCTCGTCAACGTCGCTTTGGATATGGCGGAGACGTCGCTGGCTTCAATGACAAGGTAGAGTAACATACCGAGGAACACTTGCGGCCACGGTGGGCCCAGTCCCTGATGTTTGCCCTTTTCCTTGCACTTGGCGTTGCATCCTGCCCCGCCGCCTGCGCAATCTTGATAATGCCCGCCGATAGCGGGGCCAAATAGCAAACGAAACACGCGCCGATGAGCTCCGCCAAATCGCGACTGTCGCGCAGGGCGAGGCGGCACGAGGAGGAAGAGCAAGAGGAGGAGGAGGAGGAGGAGGAGGAGGAAGAGGACGCGGCTCGCGACGATGTCGCAACGTCGCCCGCGGCCGCGGGCGGCCCCCGCGGCGGCGGCCCCCGCGCGGTCCGCGGGCCCAGGCCGCCCCCCAGGCCTCGCCAGTGGACGTCTGAAGGCCCAGCGTCTCGAGAGCGAGGCCGAGGTCGGCGGCCCAGATGCACTCCAGGAAGTCGTCGCTCTCGAAGAGGCTCGCGGCTTCGACTTCCGCTTCGGGCGGTGGGTTAGTTACATGTCGACCCCAGCGCCCAAAGCTGTTCAACGAGTACCCCTCCGCGGCGTTCAGGCCCCGCTGGAGCTCGATGTCGAGCGCGCAGTCTAGGTCCCCGAAGAGCTTGCCCAGCGAGTCGTCGGCCCCGCAAATGACATAGCTGCCCATCAACTCTGGCGGCACAGCATGTTCGTCATGTCCGCAGGGCCCAGGACATCATCATGCAATGTACTTGTACTGCAATCCATGTGCCGCGCCGTCGGGCAGATAAAATTACCACATCCACCGTTGTGCCGCACCGCCGGGCAGATAAAATTATCACCGAAAGGGTTGCGCCGCGCCGTCGGGCAGATAACATTATCACATCCGCCGCCCTTGCACGTCTCGCTGCGCCCTCACGCGGGACCCGGGCGGAGGTGCCCCTGCCCTTGGGAGGGGCGCATGCGCGAGCTTCCCGAAGGCGGCGCACCGCGCGGGACACCAGGACGTGCCCGTCGTGCTGCAGCAAGCCTTCTTGGAGTAGCATCGTCAAGAACCCTGTTCCAGCTGACTCCCTTCAGCAGCTTGCTTCACAAGTACGCGGCGGATGGCGTCGCCGGCTTGCCCGGGCACGGCGCACGTAGAAGGTGTCCAAGGCATCCTCTCTGCCCTGGGCTGGCGCGCCCTGCGCAGAGCACGCAGAACCACCTCTGCCCGCCGTCATTGTAGATCATGTGGCGCGAGGGGCGGGCGAAGTCGCCGCCAATCAGAATGCCTCGCCGTGGCCGAGCCGAGACTTCGTGGCAAGCGCATGTCGATGTCATCCAGTGTCTGGCGATGTACTTGGCCCCAGTCTTGGTGGCCGACTGGCGGCAGTTCTGGCACTCCCAGCGTGCCAGCGTCGATCCCCGACGCCAGGGTGGGTAGTGGTGTCGGTCTGTCCGCGCGGTCGTCGGCGCGGTCATCGGCTCGCCGCTGGCGTCGCGATGCTGGTGATGGCGGTCGTTTCTCGAACGCTTCTCGCGTGGCTTCGCAAATCCTATCACGCACCCTCACCGCTGATGCTCTGATCCAGTCGTAGCAGTCCAGCTGGCTGTGGCTGATGCTGCGGCCCGCAGCTGCCTGTTCTGCGAGCGTGTCTGCTGGGTGGTTGCCTGCCCAGGCGCGCTTGGGGAATCCTCGTACGAGGAGCCGCGGCCGTGGCACGCGCCGCCCTGGAATGCCGGCGCGGGCGCGGCCGCGTCGAGCGGGCCCGGGACGTCGCCGCGCGCGCGGGCCCCCCCTGCGGCAGCTGGCAATGGTCTCGCCGACAAGGCGCCGACACCCACGCTCGTTCGACGTGAATGCAAAACGCTGACATCTAAAATCCATAGTTGTTGGGGCTGTGGTATGTTTCCCACTGTTCAGTTAGTGCCCCCCATCTGGCGTTGAGTAAGTCGTCCTCGTTGTCCAGGATTGGCAAGGTGCCTCCAGCTGGCTGTCGAGGTGGCCGCGGTGGCTGCTGCTGTGGCTGCTGCTGCTGCTGATTCTCGGAGTTTCCGCTGTCTCTTGCCGTCGGGGTTGGGCTGCTTCTCGGGGAGGCGAGGATGGGCAACATTTGCTGGCAGCTGCAGCTGTCGTGCCCAACAATCCTTCGCCTCTCCGTGGAGTCGCAGTCGCAGCCCCAGGTGCGGCTTCCAGGGAACGTCGGCGATAGCGTTGACTCTGTGGAAATGGGGCAGCGCGTTGCGGCTGAGCAACGCGTGGTCGACGATGGAGGGGTCGGAGCCCTTCTTGGCGCACGTGAAGCTGTCGTCTGGATCGCTGGCGACTGCGGCGGCCCCCAGCGCCTCAGGCCAGCCAGATTCCCAGAACGCTGCCGGTGGCACGTTGAAGTCTCCCTCGAGAACCCACGGGTGAGAGGTAGTCCGCAGGAAGCTGCCCAAACTGCTGAGCTTTCTCGCGTTGTTGCCCCAACGCAAAGGGGCACCGCGGTCCAAGTAGATCGAGATCACCAAGACGCTGTACCCGCGCATGCGCCAGAGCATCGGGATCCAGTTGTAGAACTCCACACTGCCCACAACGGTGGACGATGTCGAAACTAAAGTCCAGCCAGGTGCCGCCACGTCGCGGAACGTGGCTGTCTGAATGTGGCTGTCTGAAAGAGGCTGCGGGCCCCCACGCACACACCCCCGTGCGCGCCCCGCGCCGAGGTGGAAGACTGCGTGGCCGCCGAGAAGCAGGTCTCGAGCGCCTTCGCGCCCAGCTCCCGCTCCACGCCTGCCACGGCGCCGAAGCCGATGCGGGCCTCCTGGAAGACGTAGCCGCGGTAGGCGTCGCGCTCCAATGACTTGTTCAGCCACTCGCGCGCCTCTGGCCCCCACTTCGCAATGTCGCCGCAAAAGATGTCCCTGTAGCTCGCCGCCGCGGTCTTCTGGCGGCCAGGGGGCGGGCGTCACGCCGAGGGAACTGCCGCTGAAGGGGGGTCCCTTGCCTCCTCCTTTGGCCGCCATCGCCGCCTGCTTCGCCGCCTCCTGCAACGCCTTCTGCGCCCGCAGCTCCTCGAACTTCTTGGCCGAGAGCGCGGTCGCAGCGGCGGCGGCAACGGCGTCGGCAGCCCCAGCATCTGCGGCGGCAGGCGAGGAGGCTGAGGCCGCTGGCGATGCTGCTGGCCGTGTAGCGGCTGCAGCGGCAGGGGCTGCACCTCCAAGGTCAGCGTCGTTGGCAGGCTTCCGCTTCTTCGCGAGCCGCTCGTTCACCGTCCGGTGGATGGCCTTGGCGCGGTCGATCCGCGATTTGATATCGTCGCCGCGCTCCGCGAACTGGCCCTTGTAGGCGTTGAGATCCTCCAGCACCTTGCGGAGGTCCGCCTTCTCGGTATCCTCGATGCCATCCAACTCGAAGAGCCGCGGGTCCCAGTGCAGGTTGAACAGCGCATCGTGCTCCTCCTGCGAGGTGCCCGAGGTGCCGACCTGCTGCGAGAAGGCCTGCGCGGCGTCGCGGCGCTGCTGCTCCGCGTGCGCCAGCGCGAACGCCGCCGCCGTCTCCTTCTCCCTGGCGGTCGCCAGCCGCTCCTCGCAGAGCAGCACCTGGTGGACCGCCCGCTCGTGCTTGTAGCTGGCGTCCTTCCAGGCGCTGGAAGCCCGCTTGACCAGCTCGTCGGGCGGTATCGCTTTGGCTGCGGGCGCCGCAGCGGGCTGCATGGCGGCAGCAGCGGCCGCGGCACCCTGCGCGGCTGGCGCCCCCGCGGCCAAGGAGGCGAGCAGCTGTTGCAACAGGGCGCCATCTGCGCCGCCTGCCCGCAGCGGCTGCAGCTGCGACGCCTTCTGTTGTTGGCCGCCGTGCCCTCGAGCAGGCTGCTCCTAGTGGAGCCAGACCTCCGAGCCACAACGCCCGCAGCGATACTGGCGGCTGCGGAGCTTGTCATCCCAGTCCCAGGCCTTGCAGTGCGCGCAGGTGGACCAGGAGTATTTGATGGTCTTCTTGCCCGTCTCGAAGTCCAGCAGCAGGAGTCATATGGGGACCCGTCAAGGATGGGAGTGGGCACGGGTGTTGGTCACCGTCGACGGGCTGCCGCCGCTGCTATGGCGGCCGCCGCGCGGTGTGCCCCAAGCGCCTCGGGCAGGCCCCCGTGCTGCGCTTGAGAAGAAGGAGGAGGAGGAGGAGGAGGAGGAGGAGGAGGAGGGGGGAGGAGGAGAAGGATTCAGACTTCGGGAAAGAATAGCGAACACTCATGCCACATTCATCTGTCAACGCCTCCCCCTCCCCCCAATGTTCTACATTGGCGGTGGGTCTGATGAGTTGCACCCAGACCGCAGTCTCCCCCGCGCGACTTTGAGTCTGGGGGGCAGGGGGGGGTCACTGATTGTTTCCATCTGCCGGAAGGGTGTAGGATCGTGATGGGAAGGATGCACACCCAGACCTGGAACGGAGGACCGCAGGACGATGGGAAGGATCGTGGGATCGAGAAACGATGGGCGAGCACGAGGAGGAGGATCGTAGGAGGACGGGAAGGATGCACTCAGGCATGCTCGCGTCGCGACAAGAATCACGACAGGGAGGAGGCGAAAGGCTTCGAGATCCCAGGCTGTCTGGCGTCTTCGCCCGCCCTCGGCGGTTTGTTCCACCCTCGGGGTACCTTCGAGCGGCTGCGCCTGCCCGAGAGCGTCCCAGGGACGCCTGGGTCGTCGCGAGCGGCCGCCAGACTGCCGAACTCCGGCCCGAGAGCCAACAACGACCTGCCAGGACCTAGGCAGTATGACCTGCCAAATATGACCTGCCAATTCAGACCTGCCAATCATGATCTGCCAGCATGACCTCGGACCGACAGCCAAATATGACAAAGTATGACCTGCCAAGACCTAGACATGCTCGGCCCAGGATGAAGACGGTCCCTGGGAAGGGGTCGATAAATCCAGGGGACCGCGCCAGGATAGACAACAAAAAAGGCGTCGGCGGTCTGAGAAGTGAGCCTCCCCGCCGCGAAGCGAGCCGAAACGAAGACAGGAGAACCACGACGAACACCCTCGGCCCAGTTTGGAACCTCAAGCTGCTCCCTCCTCCTCCTCCTCCTCCTCCTCCTCCTCCTCCTCAGCATCAGCATTATCAGCAGCACCATCATCATCAGCACCATCACCAGCATCATCATCATCATCATCATCATCATCGTCATCATCATCATCATCATCATCATCATCATCATCATCATCAGCATCATCAGCATCATCAGCAGCAGCAGCATCACCATCCTTATTAGTATCAGCATCATCACCACCACAACCACCATCATCATCACAAGCATAATCAGCAGCAGCATCAGCATCAGCATCATCAGCATCAACATCAACATCAGCAGCATCATCGTCCGCATCATCATCAGCATCATAATGTTGAGCATACTAATCACCATCAGCATCGTCATCATCATCATCATCAGCAGCAGCAGCCTCAGCATCAGCAGCAGCATCATCATCACCATCACCAGCACCATCATCATCGTCACCATCATCAGCCGCATCAGCATCATCGTCATCAGCAACAGCATCATCATCATCATCATCATCATCATCATCATCATCATCATCATCATCATCATCACACTCACCATCGTCATCATCATCATCATCATCATCATCATCATCATCACCATCATCATCATCGTCATATCATGATCGTCATAATCAGCATCAGCATCATCAGCAGCAGCATCAGCATCATCAGCAGCAGCATCATCATCATCGCCAGCATCGCCATCATCATCATCAGCATCATCACCACGAGCAACATCATCATCATCATCATCATCATCAGCATCAACATCATCATCATCAGCATCATCATCATCGTCCTCGTCCTCGTCATCATCATCATCATCATCATCATCATCATCAGCATCATCATCATTATCAGCAGCATCATCATCACAATCTGCATCAACAATCATCATCTCATCAGCATCAGCATCATCATCAGCATCATCATCGTCATCAACATCATCAGCATCATCAGCATAATCAACAGCAGACGCATCAGAGTCATCATCATCAGCAACAGCATCATCATCATCGTCAGTATCAGCATCGTCATCAGCATCATCATGACAACCACCACCACCATCACCATCCCCATCCCCATCAGCATCAGCATCCTCATCATCACCATCATCATCAGCAGCATCAGCAGCAGCACCAGCATCATCATCACCAACATGAGCATCATCATCATCATCATCAGAAGCAGCATCATCATCAGCAGCATCATCGACATCATCATCAGCAGCAGCATCAGCGTCATGATCCCCGCCCATCGCGCTCTTCCTCGTCCTCTTCCTCCTCCTCCTCCTCCGCCTCCTCCTCCACCTCCTCAAGCCTGCAACTTCGAGTCGATAATCATCTTCTGCGCCTGGTTCGGCATCCACCAGATGCTCAAAATGTCCTGGGGTACTGGCGGCTGCGTCCGACGAAGAGCGATTTGATCATTGACCCTGGTGCCTGGTCATGTTTCGAACTACATGTGAAAGTTGCTTGAACTCCACGTTCCGACCTCCCGAAGCAGTAGGCAGTGACCAAATCTACGCGTCAAAGACATGTCCTATCTGGCGTCTGGCATGGAGAGGGGCAAGAGATGAGGAGCAGGAAATCAAGAGGAGGAGGAGGAGCAGCGGCGAGAGCATGAGGAGCAGCAGAAAGATCAAGATAGAGACGAGGAAGAGGAGGGAGAGCGGATAGATAGATGACCGGATGGAAGGAATAAGGAAGGCAGGGCGGGCGGCTTGGAGCGAGGGAGGGTCCTCCTCCCTTACCTCCCCTATTCCTCCTCCTCTTCCTCCTCTTCTGCTTATTTGTTTTATTATTATTCGTATTCGTATTAGTATTCGTAGCATTATTAATGTTAGTATTAGTCTTAGTCTTAGCAGTCTGATTAGTCTTCTTAGTATGATTAGTATCCCGATCCGGATTATTTGCATTATTAATATTAGTAGTCGTATTGGTTTGACTATTGTTACTCTTAGTTCTTAACAGTAATATGATTCTTAGTAATACTAGTATTCGTTTTCTTCTTAATACCCACCTCCTCCTCCTCCTCCTCCTCCTCCTCCCCCCTCCTCCTGAGCTCTCCAACACAAGTCCCCGGAAGCATACGAAGATCCCCAGAACCCTCGGGGGGTTCGGAGGCCTCACGAGAAACAAAGGAAGGGCACACCACGCCCACTCAACTGCAGCAGCCGCATCCAGCAGGGAGCCGCGGAGTAGAGCGACAGCTGGCGCTGCTCACCGCACGGGCTAACCCTGCAGAGAACCTCGGCACTCGATGCTCCCTTCCATCCCCCTCCCCCCTCTCCTCCTCTTCCCTCCCCGCCCCCCCACTCCCCCCCTCTCCCCCTCCCCTTCCCCCCTCCCTCCACAATTACTCAATATGAATACTACTCTCCCTCTTCCTCTGATGACGGTCTGAAGTGTCCGACCCCCCCCGCGTACTGTTTTTTTACACACAGGTTTCCCCGGAGTTGGGTTTTCGCCTGCATTTTTTTCGAAATGCTGCTCTCGCTGAGGCGCCAGCCTCATTTTCGGGCCCCGCTCGTTCCGAATCGTGCTCCCGCTGCAGCGCTGGCCTCATTTCCGTGCTTCCGCTCGTTCCGAATCGTGCTCCCGCTGCAGCGCTGGCCTCATTTCCGCGCTTCCGCTCGTTTCGACTCGTGCTCCCGCTGCAGCGCTGGCGTCATTTTCCGTGCCATGCCACGGCATGCAATGCAATGCTAGGTTGATACTACGCTTTGCGGTGCTCTTCTACGCCATGCCATGCCGTGCTCTACAATGCATCGCGTACCCTTTCGGGATCATTGCCCTGCTCGACATCCGACTGTGCGAGTAGAGAGGGGATCTGCGCCATGGTAAGGGCTGGGAGGGAGGGGTAGGATGTCAGATATGACGCGAGCGCACCTAGCTTGATCCCCTTCCCCTCTCCCTCCCCCCACCCTCAAAAATTACACAATATGAATTCGCCGGCCCAACGGGCCAGGGCGTGCTAAGATCTCCGGTAACAGGTAAACAGTATTTCTAGTTCGCGCGCGCAGGGCGGCCCCTGGGGGTCCCCGAGCGAAAAGTACCCCGGGCGATCCCCGGCAGATCCCCGGCAGACTACGGGTCAGAGATGCCGGAATTGTGTTTCGGAGCCCAAGAGGGCTCCAGATCGCCCCAAGAGGGCCCCAAGAGGCCCCAAACATGGTCCAAGAGGGGCCCCAGACGCCCGAAGATCGCTCCACGACGCCCAAGATGGCCTCCAGACGGCCCAAGAGGCCTCCAAGATGGCCCAAGAAGCATGTAAGAGGCCTCCAAAAAGGGCCCCAAGAAGCAAAAATCGTTGATTTTCCATTGGTTTTTGAAGGTTTTTGGCGTTCTCGCATTTTCAGCTCCCGATGCTCCAAGACGCCCCAAGAGGCCCCCAAGACCGCCCCAAGACCGCCCCAAGACGGCCCGAGAGGTCTCCAAGAGGGCCCCCAAACGGCCCAAGATGGCCCCAAGACTGCCCAAGAGGCCTCCAAGACGGCCCAATACACCCCCAATACGGCTCCAAGAGAGGGCACAGACGGGGGACCCGAACGGGCATTTCGACATCTTTGCCCGAAGAGGCCCCCAGGAGGCCCCAAGAGGCCCCCAAGAGGCCCCAGGAGGCCCCAAAAACACCTCCAACAGGCCCCCGAGAGGCCTCCCAAGAGACCCCACGAAGCCTCCCAACGAGGCGTCTTGTCCACGACCAGGGTTGGCCCCAAAAATACTCCAAGAAGCCATCGAGAGACCGCCTCCTCGTCCTCATCCTCCCCTCTTCATCCTCCTCCTCCTCCCCCTCCTCCAACTTCTTCTCGCTCGCCACGAACACACAAACATATAGCATCAGCGATACAATGTGGGCCGGCGGAATGAGCGAAGCGATTAAATAATACTCTCTTCTCTCCCCTGGTGGCGCCCGGGGAATGTCCAGCCCCCCTCCGCGTACTAGTTGTTTACACACAGGATTCCCCGGAGTTGGATTTTCGCTTGGGTTTTTGTTTCAACATGCTGTTCTCGCTGAAGCGCTGGCCTCATTTTCAGGTTACCGCTCGCTCCTGATCGTGAACCCGCTGCATCGTTGGCCTCATTTCCGCGCTTCCGCTCGTTCCGAATCGTGCTCCCGCTGCAGCGCTGGCGTCATCATGTCCAGCGCCATGCCACGGCATGGTTTTCGGTCCTTCAAAATAGTTCCCAAAATCTAGAAATGGCCTCCAAAAAATACCATCAGAAGTGATTACACATTCGATGTCGATTCATTGATTTTTGGGGCCGCAGAAGCCCCCCCACTTTGGGGCGTCGCCACGCCATGCCATGTCAGGCTACGCGTCCTCATTTCCGCGCTTCCGCGCTGAGTTTTTTGTTCCAAAATGCTGCTCTCGCTGAAGCGCTGTTCTCATTTCCGCATTTCCGCTCGTTCCGAATCGTGCTCCCGCTACAGCGCTGGCGTCATCATTTCCAGCGCCATGCCACGGCATGGTTTTCGGTCCTTCCAAATAGTTCACAAAATCCAGAAATGACCTCCCGAAGAAACCATCGGAAGTGATTACACATTCGGTGTCGATTCGTTGATTTTTGGGACCGCAGAAGCCCCCCCCCCTACATTGGGGCGTCGCCACGCCATGCTATGTCGGGCTACGCGTCCTCATTTCTGCGCTTCCGCGTTTTTTCCCAACCATCCTGTGGTGTTGGGTCCTCGATTTGAAAAGACGGCGCCCCGCATTCTCCTCTCCTCTCCTCCTCCTCCCCCTCCTCCTCCCCCGCCTCCCCCTATTCCTTCCTCCCTGCGTTTCCCCCACCCGCAAAAGCGCTTCGTGGCCTCATAAGGATCCCACCGAAGGCCCCAGTGGCTGCGCTCGGATGGCACCACCGCACCCATTTTGGCACACCCCTTACACGTTCCGTGGCCCCATAGGGAGCTCCACCGAAGGCCCAAGGTGGCTGCGCTCACATGACACCACCGCACCCACTTCGGCACACCCTTCACACGTTTCGTGGCTCCATAGCGAGCTCCACCGAAAGCCCCAGCGGTTGCGCTCGCACGACACCACCGCACCCATGTCGGCACACCCCTTACACGTTCCGTGGCCCCATAGGGAGCTCCACCCTTTCGTGGCCTCATAGGGAACTCCAACGAAGGCCCCAGTGGCTGCGCTCGCATGACACCACCGCGCCCATGTTGGCACACCCCTCACACGTTCCGTGGCCTCATAGGGAACTCCACCGAAGGCCCCAGTGGCTGCGCTCGCATGGCACCACCGCACCAATTTCGGCACACCCCTCACACGTTTCGTGGCCCAATGGGGAGCTCCAACGAAGGCCCCAGTGGCTGCGCTCGGATGGCACCACCCGCCCATGTTGGCACACCCCTCACACGTTTTGTGGCCCCACACGGAGCTCCACCGAAAGCCCCAGTGGCTGCGCTCGCAAGGCACCACCGCACCCATGTCGGCGCACCCCTCACACGTTGCCCCATGGGGAGCTCCACCGAAGGCCCCAGTGGCTGCGCTCGCATGACACCACCGCGCCCATGTTGGCGCACCACTCACGCGTTTCATGCCCCATAAGGAGCTCCACTGAAGACGATACCAACAATTGCGTTACTCACGACTGCATATGGTTGGGCCCTTCGCCCGGAAAATGTTTCGTAATGCTGCTATCGCTGAAGCGCTGGCCTCATGTTCGTGCTACCGCTCGTTCCGAATCGTGCTCCCGCTGCAGCGCTGGCCTCATTTCCGCGCTTCCGCTCGTTCCGAATCGTGCTCCCGCTGCAGCGCTGGCGTCATATTTCGAGTGCCATGCACCAGCATGGTGTTCGATCCTTCTAAATATCAGCCAGCGTTGACTCCAAATAGCTTAAAATTGTCCCAGTGCGACCCTACCTAGGAGTTGGAGCCCCTAGGAAAGCAGCATTAGTAGTAACAGTAAAGCGAAGCTAAAGCTAAGCTAAAGCTAAGCTAAAGCTAAGCTAACGCTACGCTAAAGCTAAGCTCAAGGTAAGCTGAAGCTAAGCTAAAGCTAAGGTACAGCTAAGCTAAAGCTAAGCTAGCGCTAAGCTAGAGCTAAGGTAAAGCTAAGGTAAAGCTAAAGCTAAAGCTAAACTAAAGCTAAGCTAAAGCTAAGCTGAAGCTAAGCTAAAGCTAAAGCTAAAGCTAAAGCCAAAGCCAAAGCTCCCAGGGGACTGGAGGAACCGCGGGGCGGATCCTGGGGGAACCGCCCGGGGTGGGGCCCACTGCCCGTCCCCTTTTAAGCCAAGAGAGCAAGAACCCTTCTAGGCAGAGCCTAGGTAGGGACGCACATGGACATACTAATACTATATGTCCTCCTTGGAGGCGCGCGTCCGACCCGAACATATAGTATACCCATCTTGTAGTATATCGTTTCCCGAGC